TCATACGATTATTAATAATTACTAAGATAAAGTAAATACTCATCAGAGGCTAATAGCTCTCAGCTAAGATTTGAATAATCGAAGAAGCATTCTGGCCATTAATAGACAGGACGCATCAGACGAAATAGAATGACAACTGTCGGCGGTAAATCTCATGTTTATGCCCCTTCAAGCTTTCAAAAAGTTATTGTACGGAACCAGACGTTACCAGCATCAGACTAGCTAGTGACAGCCATGAAATTAACCCAAAAAATACGGCAAAGAGAGCGGCCAGCTGTCGAATAAGGAGAATATGCGCTAAAGTGAAGGTCGGCGAGGTGTATTTTCAATATCTGCAAAATTGTCAGCTAATGAAAATCTTATAACGACAGAACTTATTATCTTCTGAAGGTCTTCCTGCTTAGCAAGACATTGTAATTAAAATGCCAGATGGAATAGCCGATGGCTACTGCCCATATTAATCGCGGAAGAAGTACGATAACACCTTATCATAATGCATTGCATTTCATCCATAAACGGAACATACTCTGGGGCAAGATGAGCAAACAGCATGGGCCAAACACTAAAATAATTTCAGAGGACGACAAGAAGATACCCTCCTTTGCACTTTGATGATATTTGCTTGATTAAGATCGAGTGTCGAAACTCTTACCTCAGTGTCACTATCGTTTTAAAGGAAAACTGGCACCTTCATGAAAGAATGCGGAACAAATTCGCCAGTTCCATTTATAAGGTGTTGCCGTCACTTCCTATTCTTTGTGTAATTTCATTTTTATAACGAACAAACAAAAAAGTTTGTTTGTTTGACTTATCATTTTATTTTTACTCATATCGTTTCAGGCAGCTGACTTGTTTTCGATCTCACTTGCTGTAATCTCGGTGAATGACGTAGTTTGCCGTTCCAGAGTTGTGCTTCGCTACGAAAAAACGTTTTTATTTTCGCCGTCCAGGAAAGTCAACTGTCCCCGCTTCCCAGTAGGTACGTCAGGCGCCATGCATTCCCTGATTTCAGCTATTTTCGCAGAGCTGCATGCATTTCATTGTGCTATTGTGGTTCACGTGACAGGAGACACAGTGGATACGAGATTCATATAAAATCTTGTTTTTTATTTATGACTGAAATAATTTACCATCCTTTTGCTTTATCGCCGTTTCGTTATATAAAATAAGTCTCGCTGCTTCCTGACCTTTAGACGCCATACAAATGGCCATTCTAAATTTAGAACAACTCGTGTTTTGGTATTGTTTTCTAAGTAACAAGTAGTAGGGCGATGGATAATAAGCACAACATCAGTTTCACCCCATCGTCCGTTCCACTAATGCAGAATACCTCCATAGGCTAGTCGGTTTTTCAGTCGTTTGCATGTTATTTTCTTTCACACACCGATACGAGAATTTGTGAACGTTAGGAACCACGGTGACAAGAAATCGACCCACTCCGGATGTTGTACCAGTTTCTATTCTGACAAACGATCATCGAATTGATGGGTAACCTTGGAAGCCACCATAACGAAACAAAAACAGTTCAAGATGAACAGAAGAAAGCAAAACTACGTAATTAGTTTATTTTGAAATTATCTTTGTTACGACACACCATGAACTGTCAAACTTTAAACCTTAATATTCTCGAAAAATATAGTTCACTTTTGTGATGTTATTAATCAGCCATCTAATTACATTGCTGCAACACCCATCTCAATATGGTCTAGTCACGGATAAACGCAAAGCTTGTCAAAAATAGGGCAATTAAACCAGGTATGATCGAATGGTGCAGATGGCTCGACACTGTAAGATGCAAAGTTGTAACAGATCCCGCTCTGGAATGATCGTGCTTGCGTGCCTTCTCGTTCTGTTATTAAGATTAATAATTAACAAGCGTTCAAACCAGTGCCTCAATCCGTTCGAATCATACTTTGAGGTCGCACTGTTTAATTTTTAACGTTGTACGGGCATTGGACGATTTATTATCATGTGTTTAATTTCTATTGAAAGATTTTCACTTTCAGTATTATTGGTCCATTACAGTATGGGTCGTTCAAGGGGTCATCGGTTCGTTGGTGGTCGATTCTCTGTGGACGTCGAATGCTAGAGTGTTGCTGGCCGTTGTGTGCAATTGAAGCCAAAGCGTTCCTTCGACATCAACTACGAAATAAATGTCCAACGGGTCTGTTCGACAAAACAGCATTGAATACTTTCCGTTGTCATCGTAGTCAAAGGCGACGTACCGCGCCGGCAAAAACCGGGACAACGACCACGGCCACGGCGACGACCGATGACTTTGCCATAAAGCTTTTTCAAGAGCCGTGTTTGCGATTCGTAAAAAGCTTCTGCCACACCAGCCCATCATAAAACAGCCGTTAATCGTCGGGGACGAAGCTGCTGCACGGTCTTGGGTCGGTCACCTTTCGACGGCACCACCATTAATGCCCTCGGATTTTGCGACAGCCGCGGCGCGAGGCAAAAACCGCAAAAGACACGCCGAACGCTCCTCGCCTCGCCTCGTCGCGCCGCGCCGTCCTCTGTGTTTTTGCAGGGCTTTCCGTCTGGCTCTCTGTTTATTATGCTCTCGAACCCTTGCCTCCGAAAGTTGCGGCACCACCGACATTTCGCCACCGAGCCTCAGACGACACCGTTCTTTTTTACGGCCCAAAATAGGATCCTTTGCCACGCTGTTTTTGACGATTTTACCGGCAACACCGCCGTTCCCGAGCGCTCAACGACGGACGTCGCAAATCACCTCTGACCACAACCACTCCAGAAGGTCTCACAACTGGACTAGGCAACAAGCGAGCATACGACCATAACGCAAGTGGCTCGTGAAATGCAGCTAATCGAATGGAATGGGCGTGAAATTGGTCCATAAAGTTTCAGGGAACCAACGACATAAAACGTAAGCTGACAGAAAACGACGCACTACGTGGTTCCCTTAATCAACCATTTTACAACGGTCACATTTCGAACACTCAAGCTGCATGGCCAGGTGTACTTTTACGACATTCAAGGTTCTAAAGTTGCTCTGATCCAACTATAAATCCAGTTCAAGGACGACCAACGGCAGTCTGATTCAGAGAGAGAGAGAGCAAAGCTGATTGTTCAGTGAGGAACATGCAACTGAAACTCTGTGAATCTGTCAGCAACCACCAACCCCATACGACATATGCTGAGGAAGCCACAGAATGCAAGCGAATCCTAGAAATTGTCTCTACGATAAACATGGTCAAAATCTGCTGTGGGATTAAGTCGATACACTGTTCTTACCTATTTTCACAACATTAATGTAGCCGCTAGTCTCTCAGATACTGTGTCACGGGATTGCCGTAAATTGTGCGCAATGCCAACGTCGACGTTGAATATTCCCAGTCAACTGCCAAGGTCCACAATATCATTGGCAATCACAGGACAGCTTGCACACAAACCAGTCAGTCAGTTTCAATGACTACTTATCCTTATCCGGTCAAGGAAGAAGCAAAGTAGACAGTATCTCTGGCCTTCGCGGATCGGTGCCATTGTCTGAGCGTTGCCAGAAGAAAACCATGGTCTTGAGCAGAGTCCATCGAGGCACTTGCACAGATCATTTTTGGCCTTCACCAGGATCATCCGCCGGCGTGTCGAGCAATTAGAAACTGTTGTGCTTTCCTCTCTGAGAGCATTAACAAAACATTCCCCAATCATATCATCTGTAACGAGGACGCAGACCAAGGCTCGCTCGGATATCTGAACTCCGGACTCTGTTGAGACGCGAGAGTCCAACGATTCGTCTCATGAAGACCATTTCAAGCCACTGTATCCCGACTCGCAGCTTTTCGTTCACGGCATACGACCCATGACCATCATGGGGACGAAAGTCGGCAGACTCGGCTCTACCTCAGTCGCAAGGGTTCTAGAAAGTCACTGTGAACTCTGCTGGACGTTATGATTTGCCCATTGTCCTCCTCCCATTTTCCATCACCAATAAACATATCCTTGAGGTACGTGAATTTCTAAGTTGGTTCCGATTGTCTCCAGCTTATGTCAGCAGAGAAAAAAGCACCAAACATTTTTAGATCCGTTCATATGCATACCTGTCATGTCGCGCACTTGGCTGCTAGCCTTACCAGAGAGCACTGAAGACCACTTTCAGAAGCTGTCAACAAAAGCACCCTACTCGCTAAAACACTCATCGCTCTGGCTACAACTGACTATTCTATCCATGTACAACACAAACAGGAGAGAGAGAGAAAACAACGCAGCCTTGGCGGAGACCGATGTCACTCAACGCTGAGAGGTCCAGACTTCACGCCAATCACTCTGACGGAGGATATGCTACGAATTAATGATCAGACGGCTCGTAATGGTCACTGATGCCAGATCTGCAGGCAAATCCACAGGTTGCGGAATCCTGTGATACGCTTCCTCCAGATCATGATGCACATGTAAACCCGACAAGCGAACTCCAGTGATTTCTCCAGCATAGGGTG